CAGTTTTAAAAGTCCTTAAGAGTATTTGGGGTGTTAGGTTAAACCTGATAATTTTTAAAAAATTTGTGACTTGTATCCTCAGCAGTAGCGAAATTTGTACAAATGTTTGAGTTCTTGGTGAATGGATGTTTCTCAAATTTGTTCGATCTTTGAGTACTTTTTTTGAGACTGGGAGAAACATGGAGATGAGAGAGTGAGGCTTTCAATTCTCCTGTTTCAAGTTCATAGTTCTTCTCCCTCTGACTGTATGCCCAAAACCTGTTGTCTGAAAAGTGGTTCAGTTGTGTATTACTGAGTCTGAAAAACAATGTGTCTGTAATATCATCATTTTCATTGCTTTATTTCCTCAAGATTAATAATTTGCAATATTCAACCTAATGTGTGAAATTTCCTCAAGGGTGTAAATCAAGCAACAGACACAAATCTGGTTTTAGGAATTTTCATGACGTGTTAATTTCAGTTCAGGCTGAAGTTTGTGTCTTGTTAGTGTCATTAACTGGCTCAACAAGTGGTCATGTGATCACTGCAGCCATCTTAAGTCAATGTTTTCCTTTTTTTACACAGTTTCAGTTGACAATCGGCCCCAGATATTAAAAGTCAGATGACAGAAGTTGAAAATTAATAATCAATTTTTACCATTCTTGCAGCATCTTTCATTTCAGCCAAGAACAGATTTTGCAAAACTAAACGTGCTCTATGTTGGGGACAGATAGTAGGAACTGCAGATGCTGGAGAATCTGAGATAACAAGGTGTAGAACTGGATGAACACAGCAGGCCAAGCAGCATCAGAGGAGCAGGAAGGCTGACGTTTCGGGCCTAGACCCTTCTGTTAATGCTAAAGGTAGTCTTCCTAATTGGGCAGGCAGTTTCCTAATTCCTAGGCAGGTTTGTTTTTGGAAGTGTACACGAGTTGGTTATCAATAATGGAATTTCTTCCGTTCACACGTGGAGCTAATTGCATTTTCAGGGAAAAAAAACTTTCACTGTTGGCCAGGCAGCATCAGAGGAGCAGGAAAGCTAACGTTTCGGGTCTGGATCCTTCTTCA